CTAATGATGTCTACCTTTCCAGGTAGTTATATGTTGTCTGCACAGGTTTGGTGAAGCATCTGTTGAGATCCTTCCCTTTTTTGCACAAATTGAATCGTTTGCCTCCTGACCGAGTTCTAAGAATGCTTTATACTCGATAAAAGGCTTGTGTATTAGACACTTGTTCTGCAAATATTCTCCCAGTCTGTGGTTTGACTTTTCATTTTCTTAGCAGTATCTTTTGAAAAGCAAACATTTAACATTTCGATGAAGTCCAATTAATCATTGTTTTTCTTTTATACCTTGTATTTTTTGCGTTCTTTGGTCTTTTTACCTAAATAAAGGTCGCAAAGATTTTCTTCTAGAAGTTTTAATTTTATCTTTTACATTTAGGTCTCTGATCAAATTTGAATTAATTATGTTATACAGTATTGATGTAGGGTCACAGATTTGTTTTATAGACAGATGTCCGGTTCTACCACATGATTATTGGAAGCCTATCCTTTCTCTATAGAATTACCTTGTTGTCTATGTAGAAAAATCAGTCAGCAGCATTTTAAACAAACGGTGGTGGAACTGAAAAGCAAAAAAGTGAACCAGAACAGTTACTCAAAATTATCACAGACCTAAATGTAAAATGCAAAGCTATAATATTTCTAGAAGATGACATAGGAGAAAATGTAGGTTAACTTTGGGCATGGCGATAACCTTTTAGATGCAACACCAAAGACATGCTTCATGAAAAAGAAATAATAATTGGCAAGATGGACTTTATTAAAATTAAAAACTTCTTCAAAAAGACACTGTCAAAAAAATAAGAAGAGAAGTCACAGGCTGTGAGAAAATATTTGCAAAGGACATATCTGATAAAGACCTGCTATCCTAAATATACAAAGAGCTTTCAAAACTCAACAATAAACAACTCGATTAAAAATGGGGCAGGGGTGCCTGGGTGACTCAGTCAGTTAGGCGTCTGGCTTCAACTCAGGTCATGATCTCCCAGCTCATGGGTTTGAGACCCACATCGGGCTCTGTGCTGACAGCTCAGAGCCTGGAGCCTGCTTTGGCTTCTGTGTCTCCCTCTCTCTCTGCCCCCCTTACTCTCTCAAAAAATAAATAAACATTAAACATTAAAAAAATTAAAAAGAAAATAAAAACGAGGCAAAAGATCTGAATAGATAACTCCTCAAAGAAGATATACAGGTGGCAAATAAAAGATACTCCACATTATTGTAATGAGGGAATTATGAATTTAAAAACCAGAAATAACTACTCATCTATTAGCATGGCCAAAATCCAAAACACAACACCAAATGCTGGTGAGGTTGTGAGGCAATGAGAACTCTCATTCACTGAGGCTCTGATTTGCATTTCCCTCATGAATAATACTGATTTGCATTTCCCTTGTGAATGACAATGTCGAGGACCGGCATCATGTGGTTATTGGCCATCTGTACATTTTGTTTTGTGAAGTATCTGTCCAAATCACTTGCCTATTCAAAAAATCACTCATTGTCGAGTTGCATGAGTGTGTTATATATTCTGGATACAAGTCCTTCATCGCATATCACCTAAACACTTATCTAAACACCTAAACACTTATCTAAATGTTTTGCATATATTTTTTCCCGATTGATGACTTGCCTTTTAATTTTCTTAAGTGTCTTTTGAGATTTTTATTTTCAGACTTTGATGAAGTCCAATTTATCACTTTTTCTTTACAGCTTATGATTTTTGTGCTCTAAAATTTTTTTGCTTCAAGTTACAAAGATTTTCTCCTAGTGTTTCTTTGAGAAGTTTTACAGTTTTTGTCCTTATATTTAGCTCTTCCTCCATTTGAGTTTTGTCCGTTATGCTGTGTAGGGTCTGAGTTCCTTTATTGGAATGTGAATATCCACTTTTTCCAGCTCCATTTGTTAAGGACTGTTTCATATTGAATTATCTCAGCACCTCCGTCAGAATTAGCTGACCATGTATATACATTGGTATATGCTTCGGGACTGTGCATAGCTTTACAGTGAGCCTCGAAACCAAGTAGTGTTAAATCCTCCAACTTTGTTATTCTCCTTCACAAATGTTTTCTGTAATTTGTATCTTTTTCAGTCTATATAAGTTTTAGAATCAGTTTGATCAATTTCAACAAAGTTGCTCATTGAGATTTTGGTTGGGACGGCATTAAATGTATTAATTGGGAAGAATTTGCATCTGAAAAATGTTGATGTTTCTGATATAGAAATGGTCTTCCCATGAGTTGTTTTTATTGTATTTTTTATTAAATTTATCTCTACATATTTCACACTTTTTATACTCTTCCAAATAGTATTTTGTATTTCAAGTTCCAACTTTTTATGTTAATAAATAGGAATACTTATTAATAAGTAGAATTACAGTTTGTTACATTTGTGTCTTGCGGCTTTGTTAAACTTACTATTTGCAGTAGTTTTACAGCAGTTTCTTCAGCATTTCTGTCATAATGATCATGTCAGATGCAAATAGAGATAGTTTTACCTTTTCCTTTCAAATCTATGATTTTCTTTCTTTCTTCACTTGTACTGACTAGAACGTCCAGGACAATATTGAACGGAAGTCAAGATCAGACATCGTTGCTCTAGACCTGATCTTAGTGCCAAAACATTCAATCTTTCAACTGTTAAGTATGTTAGCGGTAAGGTTTTCAAAATATCTTTTACAGGTTGACAAAATTCCCTTATGTTACTACTTTGCAGAAATGTAATCCCTGAATGCATCCTAATTTTGTCATGTTTATTCTGCATTTACTAAAATAATGACTTAAAAAAATAAAAATAAAATAATGACTTAGTTTTTGTAGGCCGATCATAAGATTATACTGATTTTTAATAAGTTCTAACCTACACTTTATTCACTTGCTTTAGGTTTTTGACACATGTATACAGTCTTATGACCACAACCGCAAGGAAGACGTAAGATAGTTACATCACGTCCCAAATTTCCCTCATGCTCCTTTTTTTTTTTCATTTTTTAAACATTTATTTATGAGACACGGAGAGACAGAGCACCAGTGAGGGAGGGGCACAGAGCAAGAAGGACAGAGTAACTGAAGCAGGCTCCAGGCTCAGAGCCTGACACGGGGCTTGAACCCAAGAACCTCAAGATCCTGACCAGAGTGGAAGTTGAGCAGAAGTCAGGCGCTTAACCGACTGAGCCACCCAGGCGCCCCTTCCACTACCACCCCCCACCACCACCACCCATGCTCCTGCAGTCAATTCTTCCTCCTACATTCTACCTTGGTAACTACTGATGTTTCCTATTTCCATAGTTTTGTGCTTGTAAGAATCCCATAGAAATGTAGCCTTTGCATCTGGCTGCACGATACTGCAGGGGGGATTTGTCCCTGTTGTTACATCTATCAGTAGTTTGCCTCTTTTTATTGCTGAGTGTTCCATCGGAATATTGAGTTTTAGGAGAAGAAGGCAAGTTTGAGCCAGAACCATCTAGGAGTGAATTAGTCACACCAGTGTCTCAGACTGAAATCAGCTCTGCAATACCATGTGACTGAGACCGAGGCTTTTAGTTCTCAAGTGAGCACTTGTACCTGACCTAGCAGCAGCTGATAAAAAAATATACAGAGAGAGCCTTTTCTCAGGCCCTGTTGTGAAATGGCAAAATTGTGAAAATTGGAGAAGCTTGGATTTGAGAGACAATATGAATTTAGATCCTAGAGCTTGGCTGCTTTCACCACTGGTTCAAGGCTCTGTTAGGACGCGTGCTATGTGTCTGACTTCTGACTCAGAAACTGCCGGATTCTACTTTTCTACTTTAGGTATCTCACCTTTCCCCCGGATTAGGGTAGATTATTGGAAAGAAATGTGGGGCACTTGGGTGGCATTGGGCTCCGGTCATGATCTCACGGTTGGTGGGATGGAGTCCAGGATCGGGCTCTGCGCTGACAGTCCCTGCTTGGGACTCTCTCTGCCCCTCCCCCACACTTTCTCTCTTTTTTTTAAATCTTTTTTTAATGTTTTATTTATTTCTAGGAGAGAGAGAGAGAGATCGTGAGCAGGGGAGGGTCAGAGAGAGAGGGAGTCACAGACTCTGAAACAGGCTCCAGGCTCTGAGCTGGGAGTCAGCACAGAGCCCGACGCAGGGCTCAAACCCATGAACCGCGAGATCATGACCTAAGCGAAAGTTGGACGCTTAACCGACTAAGCCACCCAGGCGCCCCTGCACTTTCTCTCTTTCTTAAAAAATAAGAATATATGGTCTTTTTTCTAAAAAAGAAAAAAAGAGAAATGTACTAGACCATATATTCTTAGTATCTCATGAGAGGGAACAGAATAACTACGTTTAATATTAATTATGGGTTGCAGATTTATCATCGAAATCATTGGGTAGGGCCTTTTGAAGAAAAAAACTTATTTTTTCGAGACTACAGTTATGAGGTACTTTTTAAGAAATAATCTTTTATAGATAAATTTACCAGAAATCTCTTCTAATGATACGTCTGTCCAAGTGACTTCCTATTGTCTCCAACCACGTTCAGCTGGGAAGCCAAGCCCGTTATAGGTGCTCATTAGCAATGCATGATAGCGTCACGACAAATAAATGTCTACATGGCTCTTTTCAAAATTGGGGAGGGGTGTATTTCATTTACTCGTTCCACTCTAATAGGAGGCACTTAATTCCTAAAAATAACACACTCAAACAGGATGCCTCTCATGGTTTGGGTCTAGCACATTCCCGTCCGTACGTTATTTTCCTTGTCTTTCGAAATGGGGAAATGCAATGTTTCCAAAGTGAACTTGGCAGGGTCCCTGCTTCAGGACAGTAGACCCTCTTCAACCCAGTTGTCCGTGTTTAGGGTAAGTTACCATTTACCGGCCACTTAAACAGAGAGGCGGTAAGCAGCTGGGACAGCGGGGCTGCGGCGGGAAAAAGGGCGACGGGCCTGCCGTATTCTACCTAAAGGAGCAGGACACGGAATATGGACGGTGGTGGTTCCTTTTTTAAAGGCCTGAAACAGGCAGTAAAAAGCACAAAACTTAAGTTTTCACGGATATCAACTTTTTAATATACACTCTATGATCACGACCCCATCCGTTTTAGAACATTGCCAGCACCCTAGAAAAAACCTGCACGTTCACTTATATTTTAAAAACAGTCCGAACAAAGCCAGCGGGAGAAACATGAAGGTATTCTAACGAGCCCTACCGTCAAGCCTTCGATAGCTCAGTTGGTAGAGCGGAGGACTGTAGGTGCGTGGCTGTGGTCATCCTTAGGTCGCTGGTTCGAATCCGGCTCGAAGGACTTGACTCTTTTTGAAAGTCTCATTGGCAGCGCACGCCTGGTCCCTTAGCGCGTGTCAGAAAACTTGAACACAGGTGGGCACACTCTCATTTGTCCTCACATATGAACCCGTAGGACTGAAAAGTAATAAAAATAATAAACGACCCCAGGTACATACACGAAAACCTCCTTATGTAAGTGGGGGTCTCCAGGAAGGCTGACTTCTCATGGAGTTTGGGAAAGGGTCATGGGGAGCCGGGACAACTGGAAAGACGTCTTGATCCAGGTTTTACATTTTATTTTGGCCGCCCGGCGGTCTTTCTGGGCTCTCTGCTACGCGGAAAGTTAAGTGCCTAAGCATTTTATCAATGGCAATTTGAAATACAAGGTGGAGAAAACAGCATACGCGTCCTCGCAGCCATCACACCTGCACGACGGGAACCATCTGTCTCCGCAGACGCCCCCCTTCCACCCCCGGCCTCCTGAGCAGTGCCAGGGCGTGCTTTCTCTTCATCCGCCGTTGCTCGGTGCTTTTAAGACTAAGAATTAAACACGGGACCGAATCTTTTCCTCCTACCGCCCTCTCCCTCCTTGAAAAGAGGAGCGGCGGGCCAATATTAAAGTTCTCTTCCGTAACATTAATGAAACCGGCGTGTAGGAAGTCGGAGTCTGGTTTATTAGTTAGACCTTTCGCCCACCCCACCGGAGAGCGCGGCGCCGCGTTCCCGCAGGAATATTCTGGGAGGCCTGTCCGGCACGAGCTGTCACCTAGGAAGGGAGCCTGTGGACACCCGCGTCCCCTGCTGCTGTCCTCTGCGTTCCCTTCCTCCTGGCCCAGCGGGATGGGAACTTCTGTCCCGCGGCGGAGACGGCGGGTCTAAATTCCGCCTGCACTCGCCCGGGGCCCCTTCCGGAAAGCGGGCGGGACGGTTTGTCGGCGTCCCAGGCCGCGCCCCTTTCCGCCCCGAGGCGGGTGCGCGGGGGAGGAGCGGCCGACGCTGGAGCATCCGGACTGCGCCCCCTGCTGGGCGCGCCGGCGCGCGCCGGGGCGGGACGGGGCCCGACGCCCGCGCGAAAGCGGCCCCAGAGCGAGTGCGAGGCCCCCCCGCGCGGCTGTCCGCGTAGACAGGGCTAAGCGCGCCGCGCGGGGGTCTCCTGACTCCGGGCCGTGTATACACAAGCCAACAGGTGTTTAATATAAACATGAATCACGTACCAAAACAAATGTATGACAGGCGCCAAGCACGGGTTTAAAACAAGGGCAGTAACTGTTACACATTAACATTTTTGGGACATCTTCACAAAATCCAATCTAAAATTATTCTAAAGCAAACAAAATATTTTAAACTAAATGAGGTCACGCCTGAATTTTCACAACGTAAATCTAATTTCCAAAGCGTATATTTGCGAAGTTAAACTACATTTTCAAAACTCAGAAACATTGAAAACTCGAAGCTAAATTTTGAAAAATAATTCAAATTTCAAAACTCAAGATAATTTTAAAAACTGAAGTAAACTTTGAAAAGTGGATCATCCCCCAACCGCAGTCGCAGCCGGTCCCTTGAGTAAAACGCTGTTTTGATCGCTGACACACCAGAAACCTCTCCGAGCTTCCCAGTTTTCCAGCACTTCCAGAACAGCCTGCCTCCCGCCTTTTCACACCTCAGCAGGGCGCTCCCTGGCGCGCAGTACCCTCGGGGGCCCACCCGCCGGGCCCCCGCCTCCGCGCCAGCAGCTTCGAATCCCGCGGCCGCCCCGGCTCCCACTTCCGCTCTCCCACCCAATCTGCTGCTTTCACGGATGTCCGCCCGCGTCGGTCCCGCCCCCGCGCCGCCGGCCGTCGTACTCGGCGCGCTGCGTCGTCCTCGCGGCGCTTTACGGCTGTCGTGCTTCCGGGCTCCGCCAGCATGGAGGCCGAGGAGTTGGAGAAGGAAGATGCGGAGCCCGAGCCCCTGGAAGGGAGAGACCAGGAACCAGAAGCGGAGGGGGGGCGGGAGGAGTCCGAAGAGGCGGCTTGCGGCGGCAAGAAGCGAGTGGTGCCGGGAATTGTGTACCTGGGCCACCTGCCGCCCCGCTTTCGGCCTCTGCACGTACGGAACCTTCTGAGCGCCTACGGGGAGGTCGGGCGCGTGTTTTTCCAGCCCGAGGGTAAGAGCGGAGGCCCCGGCTGTGTGGGCAGCAGGGTGGGCTCGCCCGCGCGCGGCCATGGGGCGAACGAGCGGTGCGCAGGCCCTTAGGGCCACCGAGTTCGGGTGTGGGCGGAGCGGTGCGCACAGGTGAGTAGTTGTCGCGTAGTTAAGTCCGGCTTCTCACGTCGACTTCGCGCAGCCCTCTGTCCCGAACCGGTTTTGCCAGTTGGTTAAATGAGTACATCCTGAATAAAAATCTCGGAGGCCTTCTCACAAATCTGAACCCCGCCCCTTGGCCATCGTGGCCCAGGTGTAGACACGGACGCTAACTGAATTGGGATTCGGGGCGTGTGCGAGTTGTAAATAGCAAGTGCAGAGCGGCTCTGACGCAGGAGTTGACGCTGGAGGGATGGGTTGAGTTAGACGTGGGGGAAGGGTGCACGGGGAATGGCTAGAACTTGGGAGCCCCTTTCCCGGGCAAAGGCCTTGGGGGATCCCGGCCTGTGGGCGGGTGGGAGGTGAAGTTCATTGGGGGGCACGTTCCTAAGCCGCTGCCGTGTCCTCGGCGCGCAGACGGCTTCGTGAGGCGCAAGAAGAAGGCGGCGGCGGCCGCGGGCGGGAAGAAGCGGCCCAAGTACAGCAAGGACTACACCGAGGGCTGGGTGGAGTTCCGGGACAAGCGCGTGGCCAAGCGCGTGGCGGCCAGTCTGCACAACACGCCCATGGGAGCCCGGCGGCGCAGCCCCTTCCGCTACGACCTGTGGAACCTCAAGGTGAGGGGCGGACCCGTCCGCGTCGCGGCCCGAGCCGGGCTCCTGCGCCCCCTGCGGGTGGCCGCACTTGCCCTCAGGTCCTCGGGCCCCTGACCTGCCTACGCACGTCTTCTCCTGTTTTGTCTCTGTCGCCCGCAGTACCTGCACCGGTTCACGTGGTCGCACCTCAGTGAACATCTTGCCTTCGAGCGCCAGGTGCGCAGGCAGCGCCTGAGGGCTGAGGTTGCCCAGGCCAAGCGCGAGACCGACTTCTACCTCCGAAGCGTGGAACGCGGACGGCGCTTCCTTGCCGCCGGTGGGGACTCCGCCCGCCCGAATAGCACCTGGGCCTTTGCCCAGCGACCTACTGAGCAGGAGCTGAGAGCCCGGAAGGCAGCCCGGCCAGGGGGACGTGAACGGGCTCGCCTGGCGAGTGTCCAGGACCAGGCTCGCTCCAGCCGAGGGCTGCTTGCCAAGATCTTCGGAGCTGCAGCACCCTCAGAGAGCCGGGAGGAACCCTCCCTAGTCAGGGACTCGTGAAGGGCAGAGAGACCCCTTCCGCCTCCTAGTCACGAGAAGGACTACTCGGGCAGACGTTTTATCTTTCACAGACCGGGGATCTCTGATGAGTGCGCAGACGTACCTTTTGTGGGCCTCTCCCTCTCCTGTTGCCTGGGGACGGCCCCTAATTCATACTAGCATGAGTGTGACTACCGCACATGCCTGTTTTGATTTTTAGTTCTCTACCTCCCGCCCAGTGGGAGCCTCTAAAAATCGCACTTTCGGGCTGACCTCAAGCTAGAGTGGGAATGTCCAGTCCAGGCAACTTTTTTTTTTTTTTTTAACCAACTGTAAGTGAAGGATAGCAGCAACGTCCTTTTTAGTTAGAGAAGATTAACAGGGACAGGGGTTAATGGAGAGGGACTGGGTTGGGAGTCACCTTCCAAATGTATTTATAGAAAAGAAAAAATATAAGTATTTGTATGCCTTTGTAGTTTATTTGGCTTGCAGGGTGCATTTTACAAGTTCTAACTTTTATCTCCTCATGTCCTGTTCGCTCCCCTTAATGTCATCTGGTCTCAGAGCCACCTCCCCCTCCCTTCCACCTTCAGCCTGGACTCTTTCTGTCAAATTAATTTCTTAGCTCACTTTATCAATTATCTAATTCCACATTTCCCAAGTCACTATATGAGGACATAGTGACAGTAGGTGGTAACACACGGCCCTTGCCATTAAGAGCTGGAGACCACTAGGAAGGGACAGGTACTCGAGAAATAAATGGAAGCACCGCGGGCATCATGGTACAAGTATCTACGGGGAGAGGAGGAGCCGTGGGAGGGCTTGTTTTTTCTGGGAAGACAGGCAGTGCTTAATGTGGGGCTCATTCCCGGTCACACTCTTCAGAGATGGGTCCGTTGTCACCAGCTTTTCCAGATCATTCCTGAAAAGTGAGCCGGCATCTGAGTGCGGCTGGTGTGCTCCTGTGGTTGGAAACCAAGCTCCACGGTTGGAGTGCTGGGTTCTAACCATTGTAAAGGGAAGCAGAACGGGGAGCTCGTGGGGCGCCCTTCTGGGAATCAGGGCCTGGTGAGGGGGACGGGTCCCAGACAGCATGCGAGGCAGCTTTAGAAGCCAAGCCAAATCTAGTCAGCCACCAAGAGAAACTGCAAACTGCAGTGTTAGACTCAGGAATCTAGATGGAGCCTCGCAAATTAGAACTGGTCAGGGGCGCCTGGCTGCCTCCGTGCATGGAGTGAGCAACTCTTGATCTTCAGTTGGGTGTAGAGATAACTTAAAAGTAAAAAAATCTTTAAAAAAAAAAAAAAAGGTCAGTAAAACTTACAGGAAGTAGTAGGGTGATTATAATAATTTGGTTTTTGCTTGTGCTATGTAATCCCCCTTCCCCCCCTCCCGTCCTCAATATAATTACTCGTATTTGGGTGAAGTGGATTCACCCACTTCTTTGGCTCTAAAGTAATAAAATCTTAGTCATGTCAAGATTTTTATTTGATAGCTGCACTTTATTTGGGAGAATAAAATGACCATACGGTAAAATATGATGGTTATTTGGTGTAACGTTAACCACACCCCTATGCCTCTCCTAGCCATCAAATAAAGGCATCTGTGTATGTTACACCCTCAGTCTTGGGAACTGGATTCCCTTGTTTCTGTGTTCACTTCCTGTGAGTTTGTTTCCTGTGGATTGCTTCCTCAGGTCAGGGTGTCTTTCCAAGTGACCCAGAAAAATGCAGTGTCAGAATTTGTTTATTCAGAATTCTAAGTGCCTGTTGTCACCTTTGCTAGATAAAGAGAATATCAAGATTAAGAAACTCCATCCCCTTAGGTTGCTAGCAATTTAGAAAGCAAAACATACAGGGCTTCATAATATTTTGAATGAAACTGCTCTCAGGCTGCGTGGCGTCAGGTATCAGTATATTCAAGGTCAGCATCTAAGGCTCCGGCTCAGTAGTTACACACAAACAGCTCACACCCGCAGCCTCGTAAACTGGGTAAATTGCAGGTGAAGTGAGACATGAAAATAATGGATGGAAGAAAATGAATTTCTCAGGAACCAACAGCTTGAGTCTGTGTAAACTAAGCCCTTTGAGGTCAGGAAAATGCCTTTTTTACACTTAACATTTTATTTTTCTTTTAAATGTTGCCACAATAACCCTGAGGTGGGTCAATTTTAGTTGTACAAATACAGTAATTGTATACGTTCCCAGAAGTGGATTCACAGGGTAGTTTTGGCAGATAATGTCAAAATACTTTTCTATGAAGAGTGTCAGGGACCCTGTTGGCGGTTTTATAGACGAGGAAAGTCGTGATTTAGATGGAACGCTCCGCCACTCTGCCCCCGCGGTCCGGTACCGACGTCCAGAGCCGGAGGACCCGACCTGGGGGACCGGCTGGCCAGCTCGGGGCGGACGGCAAGCTTTGCAGGCCTGGGCCCAGGTGCACGCCACCGGACGGACCGCGCAGGTCGGGGGGATGCAATCAGAAAACAAATTCGGTAGAATCTGGTAGGATACGACGGGATTGCGTTCATATCGCTGCACACTGTAGGGTTTCAGTAGATATTTAACCGCTGAAGAAGAGAACACTTAACCCTTTGCCAAGACGCCCTTGGGAGCTATGGTAGCTAGATTTTCGTTTTATATTTGAGAATGTTCAGAAACCTCTTATCTGACAAAATTTCGGAAGTAAAAGCGCGGGGTTCTTAAAGGGAGGAGCCGTCCCTGGGTGGGCTCGAACCACCAACCTCTCGGTTAACAGCCGAACGCGCTAACCGATTGCGCCACAGAGACGGAGACACGGGCAGCTGTCCTGTCAAACATGATCATGTCATTTCCCCAGTCCAGCCTGTACGTAGGACGCACTTAGGAAATGAACCTTCTGCTGGACGTGTATATTGAAGAAATGTTCCGTTTCTTCGTTTTTGTTGCTCCTGTGTTTTCAAAACAAATGTTGACAATACAGCTATTCTTAGAGAGGAACCTCAGTGTTGATTGGTGGGGAGCTGGGCGCGGGACTGCTGTTTACCCTAAATGTGAATGTAATCAAGTAATAATGATGATGATAGTAATAATAATAGTAAAGGACATTCGGACCCATTTTATTTTCACTTCAATAAGAGAGCTTTCGCTAACACTCTGGTTGATAGAGAAGCGCCTGGAAGGATTCTGCACAGGTGAAGATATGTTCAATGGGAAAGATACCAATAAGAGAAACACAGAAGGGAAAACCACTTAGGTTTGAGTGTGGAGACTCATCAATGGATCCTTGCATTATCAGGTAAAAGTGTACTTCCCCGGAAGTAGGATATTCTCTGTACCAAACTACCAGCGCAGAGATCTCTTGCTAACTGCAAAGAGAAAAAAATCTTTACAAAGAGACCTCTGTCTCCACTTAAACTAGGGATCAAATTGAGCATCATTAACAATGGAGACGATTAACACAGGTGCTTTCGATGAAGTCACAGGAAGCACACAGGGACGCCCACATGATATTCTGGCCCAAAAAGGATTAACTTGGATGTAATTTGGCCTTTTGATAACTTCTGGCCTCCTTGTTCCATTTAGCTATTGCTGTGAAACAAGATGCTTAGAAACGTCAGGGATTGTTTCAGTCATGGCTCTTCCAGAGAAGCAGAACATGCGTGATAAATCTTCTCTCTCTCCTCTCTCTCTCTCAATTCCTCTCTATAGAGATCCCCCCCTTCTAGATCCACCTAACTATCATCAATCTATCTATCATCTATCTATCTCATCCTTTACCAATCTGATGGGCTTATGTGTAGAGCTGGCCAGCAAGCTTGAACTCAGGCAGGATTTCTGTGACAGGCAGAATTTCTTCTTCAGGAAAGAAAGAAAAAAAAGGAATGAAATATTAAGAATTTTAAATGTTGGTTGAGTAAAATAAGATCTCGGAGATTTCAAAGTCAAAAAATCCACTTAGGGTCCTCAGCACAGACTTGAGTATTTTGGGATACAAGGTACATGGAAAGGTCGGGAAGGAAGTGCAAAATAGACATTAATACATCCCTGGAAAGAGAGAGCACCAGCCTGGGAAAAGGTGATCAGAAAAATTAAGGTGTGATGTAATTTTCTTTGCTTGGAGGATAGTAAGTAGCCAAGTAATGTGCTATTTTGTCTTATATAAAACTTAGACTTGGAAAGGCTGGATGATTTGCCCAGGGTAACACACTGGTTGATTTCATAATGAATGAACTCCCAAACCTAAACTCTGAATCATTAAGCTCTAATATATTCCTATGACATCATAACAATGACAAGTATTTCAAATATAGTATCTGATCTCCAGTAGAGAGAATAGTGTCATGTAAGTTAACATACTGGTTAATTTCCACCCATCCTTCGTATAGATCTGGGGAATGGAAAGCAGAAACACCTAGTCTGTTGGCTTAAAATGTGCTTTAGAAATATCTAATTATTCTGACCCCAAATCAGAGAGAAGTTGATTAAATTCTTGTGATATGTCAGCACTATTAGCAGGAAAAAAGAGGCAAAGACATTTCAAAGGGGATAAAAAATTTTGACCAATGAGATCCGATTTCTATAATTCTCCATCATCATATCCCAGTATAAACCCTTCTGTTCAGAATCCATTTGAGCCCTGGTGAAATTCTATAGCCGCATCCTTGAATGTCACCGGTTCCTGAAAAATTGAACAAATCCAGAATAGCCTAACTTAAGGGCTATACAATTCCAGAGGTGAATGGACTGTAAAACAAAGCAAAGCAAAGCAAAATATAGTTATAATGGAATAAAATATTCTCAACGAGTCAAGACAAGCCAAGTCTATTCATTCTTACTTTGTGTCTGGTACTGTGTTTGAGTCTATGTGAACTACAACAACAAACAGAATCCAAGTCCACAAGGGACTGGAAATTTTACATGTGAAATCATTTCAAAATGATACAGCACATAAACAAATTGTGAACTTCTTTAGTATAAACAAAATGTACTGAAGGCATTCAAGGAAGGACACCAGGGTATGAACAGATAGCAATGGATGGAATTCACTTAATATTCTCAACTCCAGATGAACAGTACAATTAGCCACAGGGTTTCTAAAGCAAAAGGATGTCAAGGCCCAATTCTCTGAAATTCTGATTTAGATTGCCAAAACAATAGGTTTTTTTTTTTTTTTTTTTTTTGAAATATGCTAGGAAATGCCAATGTGAAGTCAGAATTGAGAATCCTGCTGTTAAAGAAAAAAGCCGGGGCACCTGGGTGGCTCAGTCAGTTGGGTGTCTGACTTAAGCTCAGCTCATGATCTCACAGTCTGTGGGTTTGAGCCCTGTGTTGGGCTCTGTGTTGACAGCTTGTAGTCGGCTTCAGATTCTGTGTCTCTTCTCTCTGCCCCTTCCCTGTTCGGTGTCTCTCAAAATAAAATAAAGACATGGAAAAAAAATTTTTTTTTAAATAAAGAAAAAAGCCGATTCAAGTCATACTAGATTCACTGGTGAGCTTGTTTACCCAAACTAAGTCATAGAGCCCAGCAGCATAGTGGAAAAAAGAACATCAACCACAGGCTCCGATACCAATGCTGATTCTTTGTTCTGCTATTTATTGACTGCATGAATTCTCTTTGCAACTCTTACAAGCAGTTCTTTCTGGAATGTTCTACACTGGGCCTTTGCTTACTCCTCTGTTTGGACAGATGGTATACAGATGAGAACCTATTTTTTTTTTTAATTTTTATATTTATTTCTGAGACAGAGAGACAGCGTGAGCAGGGGAGGGTCAGAGAGAGAGAGGGAGACACAGAAGGAAAACAGGCTCTAGGCTCTGAGCTAGCTGTCAGCCCAGAGCCAGACATGGGGCTCGAACCCACTAACAGTGAGATCATGACCCGAGCCGAAGGATGCTTAACCAACTGAGCCACCCAGGCGCCCCAAGAACCTATTCTTTATATCCATTCCAAATAAAATGTTTCTCAGGAGTATAGCTATCCTTCATTTTCCCCAAATAAAACTGCCTTGGCATGTCCCAGGAACTTCCTTCCTCCTCTATCTATCCACTTCTTCCATCCAGCCAGCCTTCCTTCTCAGGACCCCCTATTAGGTACAGGGGATGGCCTTGTTCCTAATCCTCCGCTCTCTGGCCTCTCCCTTATGTTTATCAGGGACTTCAGTCTCCTTTCTGGCTCTCGCATGTGATACACTCATTCCTATCATACCTCCGATCATGCCAGAATTGTAGATTCTGGTGAAGGCCTTCTTCCTGATGCTGTCCAAGACAGCAGTCTTCGTGCTGTGTGCTCACGTGGCTGAAGGGGCAAGAAAGCTCTCCAGCGTCTCTTCTATATCTTCTGTAAGGGCACTAACGCTACTCATGATGGTTTCCCCCTCATGACCGAGTCACCTCCCAAATGCCCCACTTCCAAATGCCATGAAACAGTAAAGATTTGGAGGAGACACATTCAATCTACAAAAGTTTCTATTTTCCCAAACTGTCATCAATATGGCTATTATTGTTTTTCAAGTCTTTGCTAATATGAAACATTACCAAGAGTTGGATAATTCAAGAATAATCCAAGTCTTTTACATTATTTTGAATATTAATGTGACTCTCTTTGAATATTAATGTGTATATTGGCCAGCTGTGTTCCCGCAGTGACTCCCCTGTTCACATCTTTTCCTGTTTTCTTTTAGTTCTTGATTTGTAGAAACCATTTTACAGCATGAATAGGAACATTTGACCATGACATATGGGAAGAATACTTCCAAATCTGGTGTGTGGTGTAATTAAGTAACATAAGTTTTTAGGTTTTGTACTGTCAAGTCTGATAACTCTTTCATAATTTCTGACACTGATATTATGTGAAGAAAGGCCTTCACAACAAAGGATTATTTTTTAAATTATCCTAAACTTTAAAAAAAAAATTATCCTAAACTTTATTTGGGCACAACCATGATGTTATATTTTACATTAAGAAAATATTAAATATTTTTCTAACGAACCCCCTCCAGACTGTTTAAATTTAGTGTAGTAGGAATTTAATGCTTTCCCCCAACCCTTAATGTTCGAAGCACATTTCAAATAAATGATCCTTTTCTCCATAATTTAAATACCAATTTAAAGATAAACTATTTTGGGGGCACCTGGGTGGCTCAGTTAGTTAAGCGTTTGACTCTTGATCTGACTGATCTCAGCTCAGGTCTTGATCTCAGGGTTGTGAATTCAAGCCCCAAGTGGGACTCTGTGCTGGGCGTAGAGCCTATTTAAAAAAAAATTACTTGCTATATAAATCACCGATCTGTTTTTTGGAATTGCTATTCCACAGCCTTTGGAGGAAAAAGAAACCTTGATCTTCTCTAAGGACGGCAGGGAAATCTTCCACGTCAAGAGAGAAGCAAGTTAGGAAACCTGTGTGGAGCCGCCCTAGATGCTTCTTGTCACATAGGTCTCTGTCACAATTCGTTTTTGTTGCTCTGGGAATTTGCCTCTTTATGTCTTCTGTTTAGTTCCTAGAGAAGCTGGAGGTTCACACCTGAAGGGCAAGCTCCCTTCAGCTCCACCTTTAACTCTGAGGCTTACTGTACCCCCCCCCCCCCGAGGGAGGCGAACAACAGGTCAAAGGAAGGGACACACACCAGCACCCCTCACACACAGTCCTGGTGCAATCTCTGAAGATCAGACGTTCAAATCAACTCTCATGTGAGCATCAAGTTCCATATATGCCTCAGATATAAAATGAAACGTGCCAGAATCCAGCCTCAGAGCACCGCAGAGAAGGGACTTGGCCTAGTCCTGATCCCATCACGTGGATCTCAAACTCTTTAATACAGGCTTAGTTTCCTCACCACCTGCAAACTGGCGAAATCACTGTTATCGTCCCAGAGTCGCCAGGGAGCTCTGGATGAGACGATATATCATAAAACAGCTCCAGATGATGTAATTGACTATTCAAATAGAAAGAATCACTGTAAAACAGTAAAAATAGGATTTTAAAGCTTGGGATGGCCTTAAATACCACACAGTGGTCTGTTCAAAAGAAATATCATGCAAGCCTCAAATGCAATTTAAAAATTTTTAGTAGCCACATGAAAGGAAAACAGAGAGACAAGTGAAATTTGAGTAATATATTTTATTTAACACAATATATCCAAAATATCATTTTAACATAAAATGGATATAAATTATTAAGGAGATGATTTACACCTTTTTTTGTACTAACCCTTCCAAATCCAGTGTGTATATTACAGGTATAGCATATCCCAGTTTAGACTAAAATTTTATGTGCTCAATAGCTACCTTAATAGTGCAAATATATGGTGTAAATGCTTATTTTATAGAGTGGAAAAAACAGGTTCAGAGATGTTAAGGGACCCTTTTCAAGGCCATCTGGTTTTATGATGGTAGGGTTTGGTGTGGAAGTCCAATCTTTTAACCTGTTTTTACTTTATTTTGCACTTAGCGTGGTAGGGATCTAATTCTTCCACCTAAGCTCTATCTGACTAATCTAACACCATTTACTGAGTGAGTCATCCTTTCTGCACTAATCTAAAATGACACTTTGTAATACAGTACATTCCTACATAGTGCTGATCTGTTTCCGGACTTTGCATTTTGCTTTTATCTACTCTCTTTGGAGGAAAAGGAACTCTGGATCTCATCCCTGTATGTCGTGAACACCTTCCAGCGGTTTCCCATTTAATTTACACTGTTAACACCGACAGAACAACGCACGAGGTTTTAAACGTATCACAGGAGAACACAGAACTGGGTGGAAGCACACAGCACATTCTACACATGCGGTTCTCACCGCAGGGCCTGCGGCCGGGCCAGCTCGGGAGACCCCCATCCACAAGGCACCAGGTTCGGACGCACGCATGCAACTCGGCTCAACACACATTCACAGGGAGGAGGCGTGGAGGGGCCGGAGGCAGGGGAGCGCGAATGGAGGACAGAGAAATGCGAGCCACAGGTCCCCGACGGCAGGTGCAGCAGCCGCCGCCGCAGCAGCGCGGGGACGCGGGGAGGAGCCGCCCCCCCCCCCCGCGGAGGCCCGGCGGCGTGGGCGTGGCCGGAGGGCGCGGGGGCGGGGCTTGGGGGCGGCGGGGGTGCGCAGAGGACCCAGACGCCCGGAAGCCGGGCTGAGACGCCGCAGGAGCCCCGGCCGCTGCAGACGAAGAGGCAGGCGGTGCGCCGAGTGCTGGAGGGCACTTCTCGCGCTTCGGTTCCAAGACGCGCGATCGTTGGGGAGGCAGCTGAGGAGAAAACTGAGAAGACTGTGGCATGACAGGAAATGCACACTTAGAAATGGAAGCAGTATCGATGTTAAGCTGGTAAATTCTGGAAGGGGAAAAAGAAGGGGGGCGGAAAGGAGATTAAGGGCAACCCATACTTTTTTTCATTTTTTAAACCGGGAACAAAAAGGCATCTGCGCATATTTGAACCCATGAGGGAAAATCTCCATGCAGGAAATGAATTTTAAAAATCCACCGAAAAGACAGATGAAGCAGGTTCCGGAGGCGGCTGTAGCACCGGCTTGGCGTGTGCCAGGAACCAGCTCCTCCGGGAGAACGGCAGGCAGGTAAAGGATTCGTGTTGAAGGGGTCGTGGGGGGCTCTGGCTGCCAGATCCTTTTTCTGTGCAGGTGACCCCATGGCGGCGCGGAGGAGGGACGAAGAGACAGCAGCGACCGTTCCAGGCTCCCCCACCAGTCCCTGCTCGGCCAGAAACACCGGTCTGCTTTGAACTGCCCACGGGCAAACCGTAAGGACTCGGTGTCCCTGAACCCGCTGCGCCCACGCCCCCACCTGCACGCCGGGGCCATCCGTTTAGGAGTGGGTTCAACGACAGAAGTCCACGTTGAAGTTCATACAAAAGGCTTCTCGTTTCAGATACATCAACGCAGCCTTCTGAGCCAGGAGTTGAGCACGAGTGGGTTGCAGAGATTTCAGAAAATGGGCACAAAAGACAACCAACAGGAGCTACTCCAGAGTGCGGTTTTCCCCGCTAGACCTTGACCTTATCAGGTGGAGACCCTGTTTTAAGCTTCCTCAGAGGGGGGGGGGGGGGGGGGGGGGGTGGCCTCTGCCAGGGACACCCGCCTTTGGCTTGCGTCACCACCTCCTCTCCTGGGGCGAGAAACAAGCAAGCTTCAATTACAAGCTTTGTTTTTTGTGGTTGTGGTTTTATTTTTCCTTAAGGATAAAGAGCTGTTTCAGGAAACACTTGGGGCCTGTGTGCGCTGGGCCGCACCTTCGCTCTTCTACTTGCCGAGACGCCCCTTCCGTCCCCGTGGCGTGGAAGGCCGCGGGCGGCCCCCCGGCACGTCCAGGCCCCGAGCGTCGGCCGCGGGACGCAGGCGCGCAGGCCTCTCCCCGCGCGCCCCGCTCCGCGCGGACGACGACGACGACGGCCGGGAAGAAAACAAGACCAGGCTGCGCCACCCTCCCGTCCCCTTTCCGTCTCCCAGGCTCCCATGCCTCCCTCTTCTTTCTTCACAATGAAAAAGCCACTTAAAACCCCGAGACCCTTTCCGTTGGCGGAGCAAACAGATAAAAACGGAGGCAAACGTGACAACGGGCCGAGACCCGCCCCCTCCCCGCTGACTCCGCCCCCTGCCCCGCCCCCACCGGGGGGAGGTGGACTGGGGACTGCAAATTCCACATTGTCTGGATTATGAGGTTGCAGGTTACTCTCGTAACGACAGATCTTTTGCTGTCACGGAATTTTAGCCCCAAATACGGTCAGTTTAAGCGGTAACTGTCTTCCGTGGGATTTAGGTAACGCGCGGGGGGAGGCTCCGGAAGGCTCCCACCTCCACAGCAGAGCAGAGAATATTCCACCCAGGTTTCCGTTCACTTCTCCGCTTTGGCCTCAAAAACTTCCATGACTCTAGAGATGTTCTAATGGCTGCGACCACCTCTACCAGGCCTAAGGCCCGTGTGAATGTCGACACTATCCCTTTGTTTTGTGTATTTAATTCAGGTCTAATTGGCAGCATTGTAAGATATTCACGTGTGCACTGCAATGATTTGATATATATGTATCCGCAGTGGAAGGATTCCTCCCTATCGGCTTTACTCTAAAGCAAGTGTAGGGGAAATGCCTTTTCTTAGCAGAGTAGAGACGAAAACAGTTTTTCAGAATAGAAGTTTATTTAAGAATTAAGGGAAAACGAAAACATTAAAGCATAGGAATACATGGACTGAATACAAGTGTCCCGTTTGGTCTGAGATCCTGAAAGGTACTCTACTTACCTGAGGTAGATTTCGGTTGGCACTGTCACAAGAGAGCCTCCGTCCCTCCCAGAAGTGACCTTCTAGTTCTGGTTACAGGCTCCCAAGCTGGCCTCTCCAACCTCAGGTTATGCTCTCTGAATAACACCAACACCTTCCCCCCCCAGGTAAAAGCCCTCACCCTCAGACCTGTCGCATACCCCTAACGTTCTCCTTTTGAGGGATGGTCCATCCTCAATTTACTTAAAGACTAGAGACAATTACCAGTAAGATTAGTTGAAATAAGGGGCAAGTCACCGCCCTGCCAAGGATACAAACTCCGCCCCTTCTCCAAGTTCCAACGACTCACAAGCAGCCACAAGGACTGTCAGCACCACCAGGCCACACACCCCATACTATTTTAAGTATCACAATTGTGAAACATACACTAGTGATGGGCACGGTTTGCACCAAAGAGAAACAGATACATCTTGCGTGTTTTATCACACTGGGCAACTTCTCATGGTGTAAGAGCTACTTAAGAAAATTACCACAACACATCAGATCGAATAAACTTCCAGCATTTGTTTTCCAAAAAAACAAACACACACACACACACACACACACACACACACACACACAAAATCCCCTAGAATCAGATTCCTTATTACCACCATATGCTCCATCCACTGACCCTAAGGTTTTCAAGATCACCAGCCAGTCACTAGGATCAAAGCTCAGAGCCACACACAAGGTAGCGGCCGGCCACCCACGAGTCCGAATGGCAGCGCTCTCTGCAGGGCAGGGACTTGTTAAAAACTAAACCAGAGAACGGCACTAGCAACAACATATTTACTCATCAGTCTACAGTCCCAGATACTGTAGGAATCTTAAGTATTTATACTGAATGTCTTTTAATCTGAGAGAAGGAAAAAAACCCTCAGAATTGTCCATTTATAATCCCTGGATTGATTACAATATTTCTAGAGAATGTTAAAGATAATCATAATTATCCTGGCAAATTGCAGGCACGTGCTCATCCTTAAACCTCTGATGAATCTGCCAACTAATTTTCCCTTCTAGCACTTAGAATCCTACATCTCAAGCCAAATGGATACCTTGTGTTGTGACTGCAACCCTTTCTCTGGGAATAAAAGTATTCTCTCTTTCCTTGGCAGAACTCTGAAATAAACGAAAGGTGTGTCATTATGGGGCTTGATTTGCTACAAACAGCGGGATAACGGAGTGACAAGAACGCCAGCTCTGGAGTCGGGATACTCAGAATCGAGAAGTTTAGCTCCTCCATTAATAATGCATCTTTACGCATTCTATTCTGTGCCTGCTCAGGCTTAAACCTTTCTTTTGGTTTCCCTTAATCATTCTGCGAGGAGCTGGAGCGCGTAGCTTCTCACTGAAAGAGATGCGATGAAGTCCCAACAGACGCTAACAACATCACGACAATCTGCTGAAATGTGCATTTCTAGTTGGAAAGAAATCCACCTCTCAAGCTGAGATTCCAAACATCAGTGATCATCTCAAAGATGTTTCAGGGAAAGGAAACTTTGGAGGCGGTGCCTCAACTCACACTACAGGACAAAAGCTGAGTATTCTGTCTCTATGTCACTGGCCCTCCGAAGGGAGAGCTTTGGGGGAAATTTTGATCTAGTGCAACTATTCCCTGGCCCTTCAGTTCTTTTCACTACCAGCAATGGTCCCCAGGCTACTGTCAACATGCTAGTCCTCATTCTGGTCAAGAATAATAAAAGGGACAGAGGCAAAGTCACCATAATCCTTTCCCCCAACAGTAACACGTCACACCTTCTAACACAAGGTTACGTCCTTTCCTTTATTGGATTTCCAAATTTTAAAAAGCGAAAGTAAAGTAATCATTAAGTGGTTCAGATAAAAGAAAAGCATCTTTACCTGAGTTACCCATGAAGCCTGCCGCGACTTGCCCTCGCCCCCCCACCCCCCACCCCGGACGGGTTCCTGGGGATCTAAACACCTGTTTACATACCAACTCCGTTAAAAGTCCCCTCTACCGTATGGGCCAACTAACTATGAGAGCAGTTCTCTTCATACCTATTGTATGTACACAGTTCACAATCGGGTCTCTCACTGGCAAAAAGTTGTCTGCCAAGTACGTCCTTTGGGACCCAATAAGGTAGGAGAGTTTCTAGCAAGGCTTTTTTCAGACTCAAGGGACTTTTTCACTTATGTGAGCTCCCCGGTATACCACAAGAGCAGATTGCTGACAGAAGTTCTTCTCAGAGACTCTGTAAGGTCTTTCCTCAGATTGGGTTTCTTTGGTGCAAACCCAAGAAGGCTCTCCCAATGAATGGATTCACCACATTCAAGACAAATAGACACACTTTCACCAGTATGGCTTCTCTGAAGAGTAAGAAAGTCATAGTTCTGTTAGAAGTTTTTTACACACTGGCTGGGGTTTCTCCCCAGTGTGGGCTTTCTGACATCCGATGCGAGGCGCATACTGTCTGAAGCTCTGTTTACGCTGAGGGCATTTAGAAAGTCCTCTGGTATGAATTCTCTTGGGACGAGGAGGGGTGGGCGCTGCTAGAAAGTTCTCTCACACTCACTGCATTTGGGAGGTTTCCCACCTGTACGAATCCCCCTGTGGGTGATCAGATATGAGCTTGGACTACAGCTTTTCCAAAACTCAGGGCGTTCGTAAGGTTTCTCACTGGAGTGACTGGTAAAGTTTCCTGCTAGGGTGGCTCTCTGGGCAAACCATTTCTCAACTTCCCACAATTGCATTCTCTGGTCCCCAATGAAGTCTGAGCTCTCAGGAAAGTCTGAGATTTGCCTAGAGTCCTTTATCTTGGGAGTTCTCGGACATGTACATACGCTTTTTATGGTATTATAACGCTTTGTCCGATCAAGACGTTTGTGAGGCTTCGGATGCATGGGGAGGGCTGAGCTCAAGACCTTTCTCACCCATATTACAGATGAACGGTTTCTCACCAATATGGATTGTCTGATGTTGCAGAAGGGACGAGCTCTGGTGGAAGGTTTTATCGCACACGCTGTACTTATAACGCAGCTCTTCTGTCTGAGTTCTCATTTTCTGTTGGGCAACAAAGTCCATGCCTAGGAGGAAGCCACTCTCACATGGAGACCACTGATGCGGTTTCTCTTCCATGTGAATTCTCTGGTGCACAATGAGGTCTGAGCTACAGCTGAAACTTTTCTCATATTCAAGGCATTTGAAAGTGTGAGTGTGAGTTGCCTGATGCCTGATGAGGTTAGCGCTCCGCGTAAAACTTCTCATACACTCCAGGCATTTATACGGCTTCTCACCTGTATGGACTCTCTGATGTACAATAAGGTCTGATTTCTGGCCAAAGCACTTCTCACAGGCGCCACACTTATAGGGCTTCTCCCCAGTATGAACTCTCTTGTGAACAATGAAGGCTGAACGGTGTCGGTAACTTTTCTCACACTTGTTACACTTGTAGGGCCTTTCACCAGTATGAGTTCTCTGGTGGCTAATAAGATCTGATTTCCCACTAAAAGCCTTTTCACACTCCAGACACTTAAACGGTTTCTCACCTGTGTGAGTTCTTCGGTGCCGTATGAGGTTTGTGCTTCGACTGAAGCATTTATCACACTCGCTACACAGATACGGCTTCTCGCCCGTGTGGCTTCGCTGGTGGACAAGCAGGTCTGAGCTCTGGCCGAAATTCTTGCCACAGATGTCACACGTATAGAATTTTTTACCTGCGTGTGTCCTCTGGTGTCCTGACAGGGCTAGGTGGTGCCAGAAGCTCTTCTCGCATTTGCTACATTTATAAGGTTTCTCGTAATTGTGGATCCTCTGGTGTGAGAGAAGATCTGAGCTTTGGATGAAGCTTTTCTCACACATATCACATCTGTAAGGTTTCTCCCCAGGATGGGATCTCTCACACATAAGAGCTAAGTGTTCACAGAAGTTTTGCTCACGTTCAAGGCACTGGTACAGCTGATCGTCTAGCTGAGAAATCTCATGCACATGAATAAAAATCTTTTTACCCTTCTGAGGGCATACATGATATATTTTCCTTTTCTGAGTTCTCTGCTTATCTTTGTCTTCTGAAGCGTACATTTTCTATGGCTCTCTCCTAGGGAGTTTTCCACTGGTCTTCCTGACCCATCATCTTCTTCATAGCGGTCTTTGTGGTAAGAACTTGAAAGACACATCGGTTCTAGGCCTTTCAGTCACGAGTGGTTCATCTCTACAAGTTCCCAGCATCCTATACACTAATTCCTTACTCGGTATTTCCAACCCTGTGAGACAAAGAAGAAACATTATTTATATTCCTATGACTAAGAAAAGAATGTTCAAAGTTAAAAGTCACTGCAGGAAAGACAGAAATTCTCCATCAGAGTCCGTGAGTGCTCTAGTTTTTACAAGGATTGAAATCGGTTGATTTTCTTCTTTTCTAATACAAAACTCATCAGCAACACAACTGGGGGAAAGGCCAGGAAGGATTATTTCTTTTATGAACCTGAGTGATCTCAAAATGGGTTCTTCACCACCCCTCGCTTCAACTGAGTAATCAAGACAAGCCTCACAGCTCCTCAGGGCACAGAGCAGGTGCTCAAAGCCGGAAGATAAGTTTTTATTTTGCATCTACAGACACCTGAAATAACCTATGAAAACGCTGATGCACATGTTATTTGGTGTACGTACGTTCTTCTGGGGACAGGGCCCACGGTTCCTCAACTGTGACGTGCGGACCAGGCGTCTGCATATTCATGTGAAATGAGAAGTGCATGAGGGCTGCGTATAGCACGCTAGTAGTGTAACAGACCAGAACCCAAACCAAAACGGCTCCGGCAGCAGAAGCATGAGTGGCCACCTGAGTTCAGGCAAAGTAAGGAGCCAAAGGGATCTAGAAGATGAATGACTTCCTGTCTCATCAATCTGCTGATCGTTCTTCCAATTTCCATGCGACAATATGTAAACTCCCATGTGCAAGGCACAGAGACGGCTCTTACAATAAAAAAAAAAATTATTTATAAATACATAAATTTTTTTTAATGTTTTTTTAATTTATTTCTAGGAGAGAGACAGAGAGAGAGACAGCGTGAGCAGGGGAGGGTCAGAGAGAGAGGGAGTCACAGACTGAAACAGGCTCCAGGCTCTGAGCTGGCAGTCAGCACAGAGCCCGACGCGGGGCTCGNTGAGCAGGGGAGGGTCAGAGAGAGAGGGAGTCACAGACTGAAACAGGCTCCAGGCTCTGAGCTGGCAGTCAGCACAGAGCCCGACGCGGGGCTCGAACCCACGAACCGTGAGATCATGACCTAAACGAAAGTCGGATGCTTAACCAATTAAGCCACCCAGGCACCCCTATTTGTAAACATAAAAAGAAATACCACGGCTTCAAATGTCAACTCAAAAAAGTTCTAATGTTTAGTTTTAGGGAGAAGAGAAAATGGAATGGAAGGGGGGGTGTCGTGAGTGTGGCTTCTTGAGTGAAGACACAGGCTCACAGAAGTGCGGGGTTACAACCAGTGCACAGGGAGAGAGCGAGGGAGAGGCGTGACCCATGGCCGCCAGGGCAGTGAAGTCAGCAGCTCGGAGCAGGGGAAGGAGGCGAGCTTGACGAGGGACAGCACGCTCGTGCTACATACAGCAACCACACACCCTAGATTTCAAGTATTCTATCACGTCGTCATGATCTACAACACCACTGTGGACACTACATTTGTTTTGGTCCAAATTACAAGTTCCAGATGAGTCTCACAGTTGCGTTAAGAATTCCTTACGCTCCAAGATGGTTTCCCTCTGTTCCCCTGATAACAGATATCCTAGGAAATAAGTGCATAAACCTGATCCATCACATGAACCTCCACCGCCGAGTAAAGTATCTTAAGAGCGAACCCTCATGATAGAACGAATATCCTTCTATTGTTCACCAACACGCTGGGCGTCAGAGTTCCCCTCGCTGAGCCCTGTGAGCGCGTCTCAGAGTGCTAACCAGGTGTCTGCCATGCCGGGCATCCGGGGACACTCACTGCAGTCACTGATGAACCAGGGGCCTCTTCAGAAAAAGTTAGCCAGAAACTACTAACGATGACCCACGGTGTACTGAGTGCTAGAGTGTATGCTGTGGCCACCATCACCAACCCCCAAGCCTGAAGTTTCTTATTCACTAGGGTTTGGAACCAAATGCCTTGTAGACGACTGCTCTTGCCTCATTGACGGTCAAGGAGAAGTTCAGCGCGCAGTGGAGCAGAAACCTGGGCCTCCTCCACCCCCCATCCGCCCGATCTCACTTCCTGTTCTTTCAGGAACTCAGGCCAAAGCCTGGTGTCATCCTGTGACCCGCTCCCTCACACCCCACACTGAGCCAGCGCCATTCCCAAAACGAGAGTCTAGCCTGGAGCCAAGGGAGAGCTCAGAAGCAAGTGAGCCCAATGCTCGGTTCTTGGGCCTCCAGCCTCTAGAACTGGGAGAAGATAAATCTGCTGTTTATGCCACTCAGTCTGTGGCATTTTGTCACTGGCCCCAGAACAGAGGCCACCCTCTTGGTACTACCCTCCCTACACTCAGACTCTCCACCCTACAGCCAGCAAACTTGTGTTAAAACAACAGAATGTGGGGCCCCTGGGAGTTCGGTCGGTTGAGACTCTGCCTCTTGATTTCCACTCAGGTCATAACTCAGGGTCATGATCTCAGCATCTTGAGATCAAGCACAGCGGAGCCTGCTTGGGATTCTCTCTCCCTCTCTGCCCTCCCGTTTCCCACTCTCTTTAAAAACCAGCAAACAGCCCAGACAGACAACAGGGGAGGTCCTTCGGCGTCCCCCTGGGGGCTCACCGCGGCCCTGCTTACCCCACCAGCTGTCCTCACCTCGGTGCTGCTAATAACCCTGCGGCCACTTCCCCCACCGGCTCCCTCACCATCCCACGTCCCGTACGTCCCACTGGCTACCCAGCTGTCCTCACCTGTGCTCGCCAGGGCCTCTGCCCTCCCGGTCTGGTCTCTGGGAAAGGAAGGGACCCCTTCCCCAGCGGCCCGTGTCCCCGCAGGAAAGGAGGGGCCCAGGTGCCGCTGTGCCGGGGGGCTCGCGGCAAGGCCTGGGCGCGGCGCCTACCTGGAAGCTAGCTGCGGGGAGAGCACCGTGCTTCCTGGGCCCGCCGGGCCAATCTCTCTCAGCGGATGGCCTTCTGTAAGACACAAGACGAAGACAGTGACAAATGAGCTGACTTGGCACCAGAGTGGTCCCCTCAACAACCCCGAAAATGGTAATAGTTTTCTTAAGAAAGAGCAGATGGGTTTTCCCCTATGATGTCCTCCATTCAATGCGGGAGAGACTAACGGTTGTCCTAAGCCATCCGTGGGGCTCTCCAGAAAGGCGCCAAGAATCTGAAAACGATCTGCACAAGCGGCGGCCTCCTCGGGGAAGGGGAGGCCCCCAAGGCCGAATCTCAGGGGAGACACGTGTGAAGGCGATGCCGTGGCCACAGGAACGCAGGCCGCTTCCTCCACAGCCGTGGGGACAAGGTGCACAGAGAAGGCCACAGCTGTGCCCTGGGCGCCCCTCCTTGGTGGTGGATGGGCCACCCGCTCTGGGGCATCGAGGCCACCCCCTGCCCCGGCCCCGCTGCCTTCTGTTTCGGCTGCACGCAATACAGGGGCCGCTTGATGACAGGCACCAGAGTCAGAGCGCCAGGCCAGTGCCCCGACTCCAGCCCTCGGCAGCCAGACCTGCCTGACCCGTGCCCCGACTCCAGCCCTCGGCAGCCAGACCTGCCTGACCCGGTCACTGAGGCTTTAGGTCCCTTGCGGGTCCCGCCGCTGGGGATCAGAAGCAAGAGCAGAAGTGCTCAGAGCCAGACAATACACGGGCCTCTGCGTGACAGCCGGTCTGGAGCTGCCACTACTCCAGGGACCTGGCTCGAGCTCTGGCTAAGACGGGGTAAACACAGGCTGTCCTGGGCCCCCCCTCAGAATGTTCCTGAAATCTGGACAGGAAGCACAGGCCAGCTACCTGAGAAGCCTGAAAAGTACACAGTACAAAGGTCAGGGAAGACCCGAACTTCCAGGCAGCCCAACCGGCGGGGAGCTGATGACTGTCGTTGCTGTTCGCTCTAGCAGTCCCGGCCCGGCTCCGCACAGGCCCACACAGGCAGGCAGCGCTGCGCCGTGAAGGACAAAAGGAACAAGAGGAATTTAAGGTCCTTCAAGATGACGGAAAAGGTTTTTTTAGAAAAAAGGAAAACAAGGGCACCTGGATGGCTCAGTCGGTTAAGCGTCTGACTTTGTTTCAGGTCACAATCTCAGGGTTCATGGGTTCGAGCCCTACATCAGGCTCTGTGCTGACAGCTCAGAGCCTGGAGCCTGTTTCGGATTCTGTGTCTCCCTCTCTCTCTGCCCCTCCCCCACTCATGCTCTGTTTGTCTCTGTCTCAAAAATAAATAAAACATTAAAAATAAAGAAAAAAGGAAAATAAAAATGCATAATAGGGGCACCTGTGGGACTCAGTTGGTTAAGTGACCAACTCTTGATCTCAGCTCAGGTCATGATCTCGCGGTTTGTGGGACTGAGCCCTGCATCAGATTCAACAACAAACTGAAATAGCCTCACTGGTTATTATATTAATGGCAGGCAGGAGTTAAGGGATACTACCAAAACTGAAAAAACAGTTAATTAAAGGCTAAATGAGAAAATGGTACTAAGGCATTACAAATATCTATGTTCAAAGGTAGCTATTATAAGAAAAATCAAACATTCTAAAAATTTTTTTATTTTTATTTTTAATTAATTTACTTTTAAAATGTTTGTTTATTTTTGAAAGACAGAGACAGAGCATGAGCAGGGGAGGGTAAGAGAAAGAGGGAGATACAGAATCCGAAGCAAGCTCCAGGCTCTGGGCTGTCAGCACAGAGCTGGATGCGGGGCTCGAACCCACAAACCATGAGATCATGAGCCATCCAGGTGCCCCTAAAGATTTTTTTAATGAAAGAGCAATGAAAACACAAGTAGTTGAAAAAACAAGTATAAATAATATGATTGTGCTGAGACCAACATATCAACCATATGAATAAATGAGAAGGAGTTTGACTTGCCCATTTAAAAAAAATTTTGTTTAAATTTTTAATGTTAATTTATTTTTGAGAGAGAGAGCCCAACTGAGGGAAGGGGCAGAGAAGGAGACACAGAGTCCAAAGCAGGTTCTAGGCCCTGAGCTGTCAGCAGAAGCCCCGAACTGAACCCACAAAGTGTGGGATCATGACTCGAGCCAAAGCTGGACACTCAACCAACTGAGCCATCCAGACGCCCCTGGACCTAGATTATTTCATAAGGGTATTTTAACGAATTCACAAGCCAAATAAACCTAATGCTTCATAAATATCTTTCAGAACACTAAAAATAAACAAAATTTCTCATTCTTTTGTGAAGATAGTTTAACATTGCCAACTAAACCGGACGAAGAGTATAAAAATGTTTTTGTTGCCCAGTATTAGTGCGAAAAATACTAACAAAAATCCAACATCACGTTAAGGAAAGTAATATACAATGACAAAAGTGGGAGCTATTCAAGTAATGCAAGATTTGTTCAGTATCAGCAAATCCATTAATATAATACTGCATATTAACAGATCTATGTGGAAGAGTCATGATTATCTCCATAGATGCTGAAGGAACTCACAACAGAAATCAACATGCATGCCTGATGAAACTGCTCAAGAAAGTAGGAATTAATGAATACTTCCTTTTAGTTTTTATACGAATACTTCCTTTTAAATGATAAAATACACACTCCTTAGTCTTACAGCCAGTACCTAAGTGAGAAATACTAGTCATTTCCAACAGGATGAGGAACAAGTCAAGAATGACCCACTATCTCCTCTGTTATTAAACTCTGACCTGGAAGTACTGGCCAATGCAATTAGAAAAGAAAAATCAATTAGAGGCTTAATATCTGCAAAGAGATAAAATTGTTATTTGTTTGGAGAAGTATGAAAGCACACTTAGAAAACACTAGATAACCTTGAGAGAGTAAGGGTTGTGGAGACCCTGTACAGAATATACATGAATGAATATTAAAGCCTCTTTACAAACTGGTAAGATTCTGGCAGGCAGGTTCTTTTTTTTTTTTTTTAAATATTTTTATTTATTTCTAGGAGAGAGACAGAGACAGCGTGAGCAGGGGAGGGTCAGAGAGAGAGACACACACAGACTCTGAAATAGGCTCCAGGCTCTGAGCTGGCAGTCAGCACAGAGCCCGACGCGGGGCTCGAACCCACGAACCACGAGATCATGACCTAAGCGAAAGTTGGACGCTTAACCGACTAAGCCACCCAGGCGCCCCTCTGGCAGGCAGGTTCTAAGATCCACTCGCTCAGGACCACGTGTCGTTTCCCTTGCTTATTAACCCTGCCACCCACCCATCTGGAGTGGTCTGCCTTTTTATTCAGCTCTTCGTGCCCTTGGTGTACTGACGCCAGATTGCAAACTAACACTCCCCAGGATTTTGAGGGCTACCTCAAGAAACAAGCCAAAGTACACATAGTGAAGAGTCCCTCTAAGAGTAGGGAAATAAAATAACCAAAGTCTCAACAAGAGAGACCAAGAGACACCATTCAAAGAACACTTCCTGAGCAGACAGGCCCTGGACAGTCAAAGAGCCTACTTTAATACAGCAGTACTCGCAGGTGCAGAGTGCATAACAAGCTTTTAAAACTAACAAGAGACAGAAAGCTAACCAAAATGACAAAACGGAAGAGCTCTCCTCTAAAGAAATTCCAGGAAGAAATGACAGCTAAAGAACTGCTCAAAACAGATATAAGCAACATAACTGAACAAGAATTTAGAACAATAGTTATAAAATTAATCGCTGGGCTTGAAAAAGGCATGAATGACATCAGAGAAACTACTGCTACAAAGACTATGGAGCTTAAAAATAGTTGTGATGAATAAAAAATGCTATAAATGAAGGGCATAATAAAATGGAGGCGTCCAATGCATGGACTGAAGAGGCAGAAAGGAGAATAGATCAATTAGAAGATACAATTATAGAAAAAGAGGAAATTGAGAAAAAGAGAGATAAACTGATCCAGGAACACGAAAGGAGAGTTTGAGAGCTCAGCAATACAATCAAATAGAACAATATCCATATCATAGGAATTCCAGAAGAGGAAGAGAGAGGGAAAGGCGCTGAAGGAGTCCATGAACAAATTATAGCAGAGAACTTCCCCAATCTGGGGAAGGAAACGGACGTTGAAATCCAACAGGCACACAGAACTCCCCTCAGACGTAACTTGAATCGATCTTCTGCATGACATATCATAGTGAAACTGGTAATATATAAAGACAATGAGAGAATTCTGAAAGCAGCTAGTGATAAATGGGCCCTAATATACAAAGGAAAACCTATCAGAGTGGTTACAGACCTATCTACTGAAACTTGACAGGCCAGAAAGGAATGGCAGGAAATCCTCAATGTGACGAACAGAAAAAATATGCAGCCAAGGATCCTCTATCCAGCATTCAGAATAGAAGGAGAGATAAAAGTCTTCCCAAATAAACAAAAATTGAAAGAATTTGTCACCACTAAACCAGCCCTACAAGAAATCCTAAGGGAGACTCTATGAGGGAAATGTTGCAAGCAACGCAAGGTACCAGAGACACCACCACAAGCATGAATCCTACGAAAATACGATGACTCTAAACCCATATTTTTCAATCATAACACTGAATGAAAACGGACTCAATCCTCGAATCAAAAGACACAGAGTAGCAGAATGGATTAAAAAAAAATCCATCTATTTGCTGTCTACAAGAAACTCATTTTAGACCTGAACACACCTTCAGATTAAAAGTAAGGGGATGGAGAAATATCTATCATGCTCCTGGAAGTCAAAAGAAAGCTGGAGTAGCTATACTTTTATCAGACAAACGGGACTTTAAAGTAAAGGCAGTAACAAGGGATGAAGAAGGGCATTAGATAATAATTACACAGTCTATCCATCAGGAAGAGCTAACAATTATAAACGTCTACGCACCAAATACGGGAGCACCCAAAATACATAAAACAATCACAAACAGAAACATTCTTATGGATAAGAATGTGCTAATAGGGGCGCCTGGGTGGCTTAGTCGGTTAAGCGTCCGATTTTCGCTTAGGTCATAATCTCGCGGTTGGTGGGTTCGGCCCCGCGTC